CACCTGATTTTTATACGAAAGAATGGAGGGAAATGTAGGGTAGAAAACCGAAGGGTTCTCGGTCCATATGTATTTTTAACACCGTGCACTGTGCACGATCATTTTTATGCAAAATTCTTTCGTCGGGGTCACCAGACCAGAGGAATGTAGGTCAATAAAATTCGATTCTCAGTCGCGTCTTATGCTAATCTTTTTTACAGTCGAAAGGGTTCATACCCCAACCCTTTTAAAATTGGATGGTGAAAAATTATTTGATGGGAAACTAAATTTTTAAGATGAAACTCAAAAAGAATGTAAATACAGTAAGCATACAACAATATAACGCGGAATAATCACTAAAACTAGAATTTACATTTGTTATTACAGAATATTAATACATTAGTTCTAATTTTGGTTGAATAAAAACAATCTAGCAGTGATTAACAAGTAAAACTAGAACTAACACTAGACCTAGAACTAGAAAGTTTCGGGTTTAGCCGTGCGTCTGAAGACGCACGGCTAAAGTAGGTTGTTATACATACCTTGATTTGCTGGAAAACACTCTTCCAGGACGTTTGGAAGACTTACCGGTAAATCGGAGACTTGTTTATGCAGGATGCAGCTCCACCGCACATTTAACTTGATATTAGGGAATATTAGGGAACTTCCTGGAAGATGGATTGGTCAAGGGGATTCCATTGCGTAGCCTCCACGGCCGCCAAATTTGAATGCAGTTGACTTTTGTATATGCCCTATAAATGTTTTAAACCAAAAACTAAATTTGAATGCTTGGTATTTTTGTTGTACTGCCGGTAGCATACTGCCGTTTCTTGTAGGAACCTCAGTTAATCGTTATGCAGGTACAATAATGCCTAGCATATCTTATAATAACGTTCAAATCATTATATATAGATTATTAAAGTTTTAATAGAAATATTGGTTAAAATCTGTCAAACTGACATTCAACATAACCTCAAAATCGCAAACAATATTTTTTACCTTTAAAATATAATTATTCCAAGTGTTCAAACATTTTAATAGTTAACACATATTTCGACTCACATTATTATAGCTGTTTCTTCAACTTTTCGAGGTTTATTTATTCTTTTACTGATATTTTTATGTCAGAAATTTTTATGTAAAGTCCATTCCACCAACATTGATCAAATGTAAATAATTCAGCGGATTAATTTCCAATTTATTAATATAATTTTGTCACGTGGATAAGAACAAAATGTATCCAATGTAAGCCAAATTGAAATAAATTAAAAGTTATATAACAAGAATTTGAATTTTAACGTTAAACGTCAAAAACATATTCAAGGTTATGTTTCTTGTCAAACTATTACAGGTATCTGTAAATGATAGATAACTCAAACAGTTTCTAGTTCTACGTCTAGTGTTAGTTCTAATTTTAGTTCAAAAAAATATGCAACATAGTGATATCTAATACTAACTAGCGGTATCTAGCACTGTCACTAGAACTAACACTAATAGACCTAGAATTAGAAACATTTGTGTTTAACCGTGCATCTGAGAGCGAAAGTGCAAGAGAGTAATATTGTTAAGAATAATATTTGCTATACCTTTTGATCTAAGAGTTTTTTGATAACATGCTAAATTTTTTATATAACGGAATTTACTGTAAATTATTATCTCATTATTTACTCATTATAAAACGTTTTCAATCTTAATTATGCCAAAAAAATAACGTTTTCAATTTTGGTAAACAATTTTAGCCAATGTCAATAATTCTACCGGTTATAAACAAACTGTTTCTCTTGGTCATAATATTTTCGTTAGATAATTCTCGGAATACTTACGCTTTTACGAAGTTTATTTATCAAAACTTGGTTGAATGAAGTAAACAGGCTTAAATGGATCTTGTCCCAACAAGAAAAGACTTCATTGTTAGCGGTGTCCCGTCGGAATCCCGTCGCGTCCGATCCTGTATGAATCACCCTCTTCAAACTAGCAAATGACTCATACATTTTCTTCTTCATCACCAAGGGGTCAGTAGACTATGTGCATGCAGCATCCTGTCTGCTGACTCGTACGTTTCAATATTTACATGAAACAGCACGTTTCAAAGAAGAATTTCTAATGTGTTTTTATGTCTCAGTTTATAAATTGGTTATATTTCGTCATCACGTGTGCTAAAGATCTAAAATGCGAAATTTTCGGGCGAGTTTATCTGTAATAAATATTTTTCAGTTGCGCCATACTGATGCAATCGAAAACATTTTGTTGATACATATGCATAATTTGCAAAAGTACTTTTAAAAACAAAAGCAGGAAATGGCGTGTTATTAAAAAAATAAATCCACTTCCTTAGAAATAATAAAAAAACATCGCGATTATTATTTATCATTTAAATAATTGATACGGTTATCACTTTTCTAGGGCTACAATACATTTTCTAGAATCATTTTTATTTATTGTGTGCAGATTAAGATAAGATATCACAAATTTTCCTTAATTTTACATTAATTTATGTAAAAATAAAAAAAATTGTTATTTTAGTTACTAAATCCCAATTAGCAATACTTTATACATCAACAAATATTTATTTAACTCTTGCAATAAACCCTTCTATATCAACAAACTTATCTGCGCGTTATCGTTAAGTCTTATCTAAAATTTAATTTGCACCGAAAAAATTTGCGAATCCACATTAACCGTGTTATTGAACCGAAAATTTCGAAACTCCTTTTCCGTCTTTAGTCGCGACACGCGCACACTTATTATTACTCAATCGTATTTAGCGTTTACATCGTTATTTGCGAGTAAACAGACTTTTTTGTTAGTCTTTAGATTGATTTCTTTTTGAAGAAATCAGTACACGAATTTATTTCTTAGACTGTATATAAATAATTGAGAATGGAAAAGAGTGAATGGGAAGGAAGGGGGATTTCGATGGGGCAACTGATGAGGCAAAGAGTTTTGTAAGAACAACTCTGAAAGAAAAAAAAACGAAATAAGGAGTGCGAGTTTTGAGCGAACGTATGTTGTTGCAAAATGTTGAAACTGATGAGGTAATTATTACCTTGAAATTTTATGTTTATGGGGAGTATCTATAATTTTTTTGGGAATAGTATTTTTAATTTAGAAAAGTTAGTTAAAATATTTGTATTTGTTAAAGTTTATTATGTATTAATTATACTGCTACATAAATTTAATGTTTGAGAATTATCTATCATTTACAGATAACTGTAATAGTTTGACAAGAAACATAACCTTGAATATGTTTTTGACGTTTAACGTTAAAATTGAAATTCCTATGATTTATTCCTAATTTATTTCAATTTGGCTCAATCAATATATTTTATTCTTATCCATGTGACAAAATTATATTAATAAATTGGAAATTAATCACGCAGAATTATTTACAATGAAATGTCATTGTGTGACATTTGATCAATGTTGGTGGAACGGACTTTATATAAAAATTTCTTTCTAACAAAAAAATAGCGGTAAAAGAATAAATAAGTCTCGAAAAGTTAAAGAAACAGCTATAATAATGTGAGTTGAAATATGTGTTAACTATTAAAATGTTTGAAAACTTGGAATAATTATATTTTAACGGTAAACAATGGTGTTTGCGGTTTTGAGGTTATGTTGAAAATCAGTTTGACACATTTTAACCAATATTTCTAAACTGAAATAATCTTTATATAATGATTTGAACGTTATCATAAGATATGTTAGGCATTGTTGTACCAGCATAACGATTAATTGAGGTTCCTGCAAGAAACGGCAGTATTGTACATAATACGTAAAGAAAAAATACCAAACATTAAAACTTAGTTTTTGCTTTTAAACATTTATAGGGCATATACAAAAGTCTACGGGATTCAAATTTGGAGGTCGTGGAGGCTACGCAATGGAACCCCCTTGACTAATCCATCTTCCAGGAAGTTAGATGTTCCCTAATATCCAGTTAAAAGTGCGGTGGAGCTGCATCCTGCATAAACGAGTCTCCGATTTACCGCAGGAGACCGATTTTCCAGGAAATCAAGGTATGGGTAACAACCTATCCCCTATGCTGCTTAACTTGAGGCGAAATTCTTCTCATACTTGTTTATATAGCTTCATCAATGAACAGAACCCAAAACAACCTGAGTTAGTATTTTCGATTCCTATTTAATCAGATTTCTAAACCTACAAATTACGCTTTTTTAGATCAACAATACGAGTTGCTTTTATTTTGCTCTTATTTTACTTTGTGCTGATGAACAAACGTACTCTGATTCCTAAATCCTAGGTAGAAATTGAATGGGAGAGGTGTAATAACAAACAAGTGAAAAAATATTTTAATCTTAAACGTTGTTTGAACTTAAAAAACATTAATATTAAAATGCCAATAAGTATCCTAGAAAATTTGTTATGATAAACATATTTTTGATAATAGAACAATTCGGTAAAAAATGTTTATCTTATTAATAATAACAAGAAAAAAATGAGTCACTTTGTTTCCAAAACAGGATTACGTGACAGTTATCATTAATTTTTTTCATAACCACCAAACAAAAAATATCAATAAACAAATAAAAATCTTTTACGAAACGAAAACGAAAAGAAAACAACATCAACTCAAAAAAATAAGATAAAAAAGTAATCTCCAAACCGTATTTCCATCCATGCACACGCACCTTTTTCGAAAATTTCTATGTGAGATATAAAGTTTGTTTACTATTCAAAAAAGAGGGCAGATGTATCCAAGGAAAAGAAGAGATTGAGTAGGAAAAAAAAATTATAAGCAGCTGGTGCTGCAAAGACTATTGTTGAGATGGTTTTATATGGATAAAAAAATCTTAGGGGTGGCTTCGAAGCTTGGTGTGGTGGATTGTAGGCGGCAGATGTCAGGTAAAATTTCACCTTGAAGCTTTTGTAGCATCCCTTAAACCAAAAAGGGAGTTCTTAGTACTGAGTTTGCGTCGGTATCGATCGCGCTTGCGCCAAAAGGCCCCTCCACGTTTTGGCGTCCATTTCAAAACGTAGAACTAGACATTCTCGATGACAGTGTGCACTTGGCTGCGATGGCGTTGAGTCTGCGTCGTTGAGTCCGCTCGTTCGATAAAACGCTAAATATTATATATATATTTTTTTATTTGACTCTTTATAATTATTACGCGAAAGTGGTTCAATCCGCAAAGTATTAATTTCTTAAACAATTAAGTGTTTTCTTCTTCATCTCTCAGGGATTACATTAAATATAGAATTTTTAAGTCAAAAGTGGTTTTGTACTCGAAACAAAATTATCGATTGTGTTCATTTTTGGGGATCCTAATAAATCAGTGAAGATGCAAAATTTAATGCCAGAATTGTTTTCGCCGCAACAAACGTCGAGGGATGTTAAAAAAGTGGACCTGATTTCGAAATCTTATGTGACAAACATCGGGGATATTTTTTTTAAACATCGGGGGCCTAAAACACCCCCAAAGGATGTCGAGTGTTTGATCCATCGCGTAATATCGGATAGAGATGTGCCGAAATTAGCTTGTGACTATTTGGTGGAGGACAGTGTTAGCTCTTCTTATACGATAATAGGGAATAAGTATGTGCTTCTGGACACTGTGGAGGGAAGCTCAATGTACAAGTGCGTCGATATTCGGACGAAGGAGGAGTACGTTTGTAAGGTAAGCGTCGTCTTTGGTTCTCTTTTAAGCGCGGGGCGGTGCGGCCTCGTCGCGGAGGTCAAGTTGACGTCGTCGCAAATAAACGAAAAAATCAAGAACCCAACTTTCGAGTTTTAAAACTCGTCGCGAGGACGCATTCTTCTCAGCCGCGGGCGATAGTGACCCACCCTAACCCTAACTCTTTCTATACACACTCACATACAGCATCTCCTCCAACTAGTTTTATTTCGTGAGAAAACCACTCACCCTATTATTCTCACCAACACTATTTTTATTAAATCAAATTAACATATTCTCCGCTTATCCTCCTTCTCTTTTTGCCTTTATCCACGTGGTGCAATTTTAAATGTCTCCTCAATATCCTAAAGACGACGTCATTCAACGACGTTCGTTTCCCGTAGCGCTCGTGATCAAAAATAACTACGACTTTGTCAAGGTCTCAATATATACAATTCGCACCAAATAGTTTTGTGTAACATTCCAAATTTAATTAATTTTTTTTTAATTCTTTTTAGGTTGTTCCTCATACGAATTATTCAATGGTAGGTGCTCACTACCGTTTAGATTCAAACTCCCGAATAGCATCTCTTCACGAAGTTATAGTTCAAGATAAACACCTGTACCTATTTTTTCCACGAACATACGGCGATTTACACTCGTATGTTCGCTCGAGGAAAAGACTACGCGAATCGGAAGCAAAAAGACTGTTTAAGCAAATCGTGGAAACCGTGCAAGTATGCCACGAAAACGGAATAGTGTTGCGCGACTTAAAGCTTAGGAAATTTGTATTCACGGATCCCGAGAGGTAAGTTCATGCTATTTTTGTTCATTCTGACGCAATTTTATCCCCGTTTTACACATGATATACATACACCATGAATTATTTCTATATTAATGGTATTATTCATTTTTATTATTCATCGTATTTCTCGTAAACGATTGTTGCTAATTCATAAAAAGCTTGTTTAAAACGCATTAAAACTAAGCATCTAATTATGACCGTCATGGTATCCTATCATGGTAATCACCATATCATCATGTAAACTTGACGTCAATGGAATAATGCGTACACGTCACGGTTTTTATGTTGCAATCTTTTCCAATATTGAATCAAGGAAATTTTAATTGCAACTCAAACAATGGATTAATAAAGTTTACATTATAAAGTTGCGATTAATTGAGTAAAAAATGTTTGTTCTATATAAACAATGACATCAAAAATTCAAAACTTTAAAAAGTCTATTTATACATGATGGATTTAGGATCTTTAGGATGTTTTTGGGTTATGGTCAAAGTTTGGCAATCACTAATTAAATCAATTAAGGCATGCCATCTTCACAACAACCTAATTTAACACCAAAGAAATTCCTTAACCAAACTGTAGAACCAAAGGAACTCCCTTTGGTTTCATTTTAATTAAAACTTGATCCACATAGCAGACCTAATCCCAAAGCAACTCTGTCACAACTTTTTTTCATTCGGATATCTCCACAAATATAGGCATTAGATAAGCTAGAACTTTCTTAAACTGTCTTTAAACGCTCTTAAGCCCATTTTTACCACCTCTTGATAAATTTATCCGATAGATAAATCTAGCTCTTAGCCAATAAGAGCGTTTAAAACCACCGTAACCATGGCAACTGTCTCCTATATAGTTTATCAAGAAGATGGTAAAAGTGGGAATTAATTCAAGTTTTTGGTTTTACCAGTTTCAGTCTCTTCTCATTGATAATATATTTTGGCACAAATATCACATGAGATAATTCATCTGGTATCTGGTAGGTAACTTGTATAAAGAATCTATCTATTAAAGACCTCATATTCACAGTAATAATATTTCTCTATAGCTTCAACAATCTTATTGGAACATCCATGTGCCTTGAAGAGCCTAGTTAGCTCTTCAAAGATAGCCCATAAAGTTCATGTAATTATATTCTTTAAATTTAACCGAAAATTAACCAAGGTAAGTCTTCAAACTTTTCGATCACTTATCTCAAGAACTCTACTGCAAATTATTAATGGTATGAGAATAACTGACCAACCCAACCCAAGGCTAGGTTAAGACTTCGATCCTTAGCAAACTGCATCTATAATGTTTATTCTCTGCAGCTTTTTTTGCTGCTGGATACTCTTACATCATTCCAAGCTGCTGACCCTTTCAGTTTTTGGGGACACATCGCCGACCTAACTACATCAACCGCATAGCAGATAACCTTAACATGAGAGTATGTTTTGACTGACGTGGTAATTGTATTCACTTTATGCCATGAAAAACTGAAACCTCGTAGACGGAATAGAATTCAACCCAAATCATGTATTGGAGAAATTGTTTTCAGTCAGAACACTCCAAGACAAAGTTACGAATTACAAGTTGAAACCTTAATATCAATAATGTCATCGGTGCATACCGTTGCTTTCAAGCCAAAACGACATAAACGCCAAAATGGTCACTTTTTTACTTAGGTAGGATTTTTGAATCTGCATCAAACAGTTATATAACCACAAATAAACTTCAAGCGCTAAAATATTGGTTTAAAATTTATGTAAATGCCTATTTGAATACGACGCCGACGTGATGAAAGCTTTTTGGATTTCCTGGAAAATCGAGCAAATTCTACAAATATAGCTACAATAACATTCGAAAACTCCTACCAGATCAGATAATGTTTACTTTGTTGGGACGGCGCCGAATACACAATCATATTTACCAGAAAATCGTTTGATACAAATGCTGAATTCATAAAAAATAACAAATTTTACCAAAAATTTACAACAAATCCTAATTACCAAAAAATAAAAACCAAAATATCCCAGTGTTATTTTTCAAATTGTTATGTTGGATATTTATCTATCCAACATCTTTATTGGCATCTAAAAAAGAAAATCTGGCAACTCTTCGACGATGAGAATGCCAAAAAATGTGGTAACAGTAAAAGCATCCATTCAACAATAATCAAAATGTCCATGTTGATGTTTTTATCAAATCCAAACTCTCTTTTAAAATGTATATACTCACTATATGTATAAGAAAGAATCAATATGAGAATTTCTCAACGTGATTGCGTTATGAATCTTATCTCTTCTTGTCATAGGTTAGTGCAACGATAACTTTCCGATTGAGAACAAAACAGGAGAATTGTAAAAATAAATTTTTTCGCTCAAAACAACACCTGGCCATTTAAAATCGATGAATGAATGAAAGAATGGTTCTTGCAGATGTTCCCTACCGTCAACTTATCAAAAGAATCTTTTGTTATATCGGGTGGACACCTGGAAAATGTCTTTCATACTCGCGTAGGTGACACGAAACACTTGAACTAGTTCAGGTGACAAAAACCGATTTTTTTTTATTTCGATTCCTTTTTCCAAGTTGTAACCGAGATTTTAGTTATTTCTATTAGCGGCCGCGTTGTAACCTTAGAACGAGAAGGTCCCTGCGAAGGTCGATGAGGTTCGAGCCAGAAACGCAAAACTTCACATATTCATTTACATGGATTTTTTTTTGTTACTTTACCTTGAAATTTGAAATAGATAGTTTTTAAATATTTTTATTTTATTAGTATTAAAGTTTATATTTTAATTTTTTGGGTAATAATAATAATTAATTTTTTTCGCTGTCGTTTGAAATATCGAGGTTAAATCTTCGCGCAACCTCTCTCGAATTTCGCCAATCCCACGCACTCTTCGTCCTTGTTTATCGTACCGTTTACTATATTCTGTCTCCGTTGGTTACGTTACCCGGACCTTAACCTACTTTGCGTGGCAACACAAAGCTGCATTTCGTAGTCTTGGCCTTATTTCCAGGAGGTTAGAAGGTGCGCAGAAAACTATTAAAACTAAGATGTTCTAAATTGACTTTTTTTTTGGGGGTTTTTGCTGAATTCTTTTACTTGGAGATTATGTCCATCCAGACGCAAGTTATCTAGAGTCTAGAGGGAGCAGGAAAACCTGACGCTTCTTAATTGCTTTTAATAGCTTTGTTTATCACCACTTTGCTTGCGTCATCGACGCGGCGCGCACACACCGATTTCGAAATGCAAGGCACGTTGCATCAACTTTGGTTTGCACTGCAACCATTATTCAATTTGTTATTTCAACACCTTTTGAATCTCCTCTATAGATTTGGAAAAAAAATTTGGCAACTTTTTTGATTTCAAAATAAATTTTAAGATCCTCTTTGAAACAATTTGCGTCAAAATGAATTATTATTTTGATAAAAGTATTACAAAATTTAATTTATAAATAGTAAGAAAAAAAGCTATTACATTAGTGTTTATAAAAAAATAAATCGTGTAGTAAGGTTCTGATAGCGCGTTGATTAAGATTAGACGTTTGTAATTGAGCAATTTAAACGGATGTATGCGTCAGACGTGGGTTTAATCACGCGATTCGGGTGTTGGGTTTCTACGTAAAATTGTATGAATGAAAAACCGGGAAATTCCTGTTTTATATTAGATCGAAGTGAATAATCCAAATAAGTAATTTGTTGAGATTACTTTTGTTTTGGAATTGTTGTTACGCCGTAAGAAAATTGCGTAATCTTATCTGTTGCAAGTCGGATTCTTTTCGAATTTTTTTTTCTGCCGCGTTGCAGCGCCCGATTGCGCCACCACCACACCGACTCTACACACACCATAATACGCGCGCCACTCCTACAGCAACAACCGACGGGTTTCTATATGTTTAACCGGATTGCTTTAACTTTTGTAACGATGCCATTTCATCATCGTGGTTGATGTGTCCGAATTGTGCAAAATGTTTGCTCGTCGCTGTAAACGTAACGTTATGTTTAGTCGGCTCATTTTTAATTTTATTCTTATTTAAGCAATGTTAGTATTTAGTCAACATTTTTTTTTAATCGCAATTTCTTTTTACACCTGTACAAATCGAAATAATTGCTACATAAACTTCGTTCAGGGTCTTTGGATTTATCTCTCTCGCATTGTTTCATAAAATCACATTCGACCCTCCCTATCGAGACTTATACAGAGAGCACGCAATGAAGCAACCTCGCACACGATAAGTCAAAGAGATATCAGTATTTACCCAATACTGTTTGCCGCTGTCTGTATACGAGATTTTCAACACCATTTTTTTTGGGCCCCCGATAAAAATGACGAAACCACTTGTTGTCACGCTTCTCTCTATCCATCCAAATTGTACCCGAAAATTCCTAACGATCTCGTTTTTCCCCCCTATTGTGTTACATGACTCAACTAATTTTTTTACCATGAATTTAATTTCATTTCGAAACCACTTCCTCTTTAAACCCTACTTCAAAGTTAAATAATCAACAATACTACTACAAAAAAAAATCTATGATTTATCAAAATTTTACTGAATTGGATAAAATAGGACAAAGAGTAATTTCGAAACAAAGGATTTCGGAACGTAAATCGATAGTTGTGTCGGGCGCTTGGTGCGCAAGACTGGCAAAAACAATGGTGATTGCGATGACGTGCGCAAACATGTGTCGTTTCGTCACGTTTTTCTCTGTCCCTGTGAACGGAAGAGCGTATACAGGACGCAGGATATGATGCCCCCGCTTCGGGGTCCGCCGAAAAAGGACACAATTGCGTTCAACTTGAAACGTGTGGGTTGTTGCTATTGAATCTACTAAATAGACGCGAACAGGATATCGGAGACCGGAAACCGCAGCCATTGTGTCGGCTCCCCTTTTTTTCCGAAAAGGACCATTTCCGATTCTAGCGATTACGTCCTCCGGATGACGTCAAGAGGTCAGCTCACCGCCTGCTTATCCATTCACAGTTGTACCCGTTGTATCCGCAATTAAGCTAAACGGGAGGTCTATTAGTAAAGAGTAAAGACTAATTTAGCGTACTCAAGGTTGTTTTTATTAGTATTTATGATTGTTAAAGAATGCTTAAAACAATTTTTAAATGTTAAATTTGATAATAAAATTGATTCTAAGAAAAAATAACTTCATTGATAATTTTTTTTCTTCTTATCGCTTAGAATGTATTGTCTAGTTCTAAAAAAACACAAAAGAAAAAAATGATAAACGATTTTGTAACTTTTTTTTTTCTAAAAAATTAATCTAGATTCTAGGTTAATAAACTTTCTTATCAGCTTTTCTTTGTAATCTCTGGTATTAAAAAGTTTAAGACACACTTTATTAGCTAATTATTAACGTTACGTATTAAAAGTCAATGAATCGAAAAATCTTCTGTAATACATATCCAAAAATAAAATTATTCCAAATATTTGTTTAAAAGCCGGTGGAAAGAGGTGATAATAATCTCGTTTTTCCATCTGTGCATCTGTTTTTCATAAAAAGGCATCTGAACAAATAAAGGAAATGTAGTATTTTAAAATATTTACTTATTTATACGATTTCACTATTTCTTTCCTTTTTTTTGTTAAAAAAAGTTAGTAACCAAAAATGTATCCATCGCGATTAGACAAAATGCGAATTTTCTGACATTGCATTCTCAAGATTTTTTCTTAATTTGATCGCATTCGTTGTTTTCTAGAAGCATTGAAATTCCATATTAGGTATCAATTACATCTGGTACAGTTAAATGTGACCTTAATATATTTCTTAATATCTTTGTTCCCAGTCGTTTACTACACCAAATAGGAAAAGGAAGTGTGAAGACTAACATCACACCCATAAAATGGACACCCAAATAATCGATACACTTTCACAGTACGAAACAAAGCGAACCCCTGACAGCCTTCAAATAAAGAACCCAACCCAAGCTGCACTCTTTTTGGACAATACTCAAACTTAAATTTCATAGCTAAAATAATATAGTTTAGAAAAAATTTTAATCTATAAAGTTTTGATGCATTATGATGGAAAAGAAGTTATCCTAATCTCCATAAATTTAAACATACGAAGGCACATTGTCGAAATGGCGAAAAATGAAATGGATTTTTACTATTGCTATTATTTTATATCTAGATAACACTGTTGATGTTAATTTGCAATTTGCCATTTTTGCCTAGAGTCTGCTACCATTGTTAATGCTCATCGTCTTCATTTCAGCAATAACAAGAAAAATGAAAATGAAATTCGGGTTGTCAAGGTTTCGTAGTCATCCACGATTGTCTTCAAAATTCGATCTCTCTCTGGTTTATTTTTTAAGCTAAGGTTGCAGTATTCAAATCTGTTCTACTCCGGCATTCGCTGATTGCTCCTTCATCAAAAAGTTCGTTGATATCACGAATTCACTGCGCTCATCCTTTCTGGAAGTTGTAAAGCTTAATAATAGTATGGTATGATTATTGGGACACATTTTTATAATGAAATTTTTATTTCATTAGAGCAATTTATGCACCAACCTTAATTCCATGCACACTATTCACGATTCAGTTCGCTGTTTCAATATTGCAAACCTTTTTTTACCATAAAAAATTATACATGTACTTTCTGAATTTATCAACATAGTAATTGATGTTTAAATAAGCCATATTACAGTTATTACACTTTCTCCGTTTGTCCGTGAGGTTGCTCAATTTTCTTTCTATCCCGGATTCGTCCAATGTGTTTTGTATTTTTTGTAGCTAGGCGTAATAATTAATAAAAACTGCTCTTTTTTAATTTAAACATAATGAGGACAATTGTTTGCATTGTTAAGTTCTTATGTATATTATAAATAGAAACGACGTACTTACACTTAACAATATTGATAACAACTGGGCTGACCTCATACTGTCTTGGGTGAGGTGTTGGCATGTTAAATACATACCAACAAGACTTTTTATAATAAATTACCATAAAATTTCAAACCTATTTGGGTTGAAAAGTGTATCGATAAGCCGTCTAAAAATCCTCGAAATATAAAAATTTCTTTTTATCAATACAATATCATTTCAGAGACACGTCATAAAAGCATTGTTTTATGTTTCGTAAACGTTTGTTTGTAATCATTTGAAAAATAGATAACAATAGTGGAGTAAGTAGATAAATAACATAGCGGTGATTGTGTTTAGTATTTTTGAAAAACGCTTGTTTTTGTTAGCAAAGATTTTTTGTTTGATATTTCACCTGAATGCGTTCCATATTTTTGCTTAGTTAGAAGGTTTTTGCGACGCAAGGTTTCGCGCACACACTTACGTAACGCGTCATAACCGCTCAAGGTCCGTCAAAGGTTACACCGATATTAAAAACGATTACTTTAATAGTGTATAGGCGTTTCGAAATCGACAAATTCAACGGCGTATAACACAATGGTGTTTATAGTTTCCCATCGAAAATTTTGTATCTCATGGCCCCTGGTAATATGGGGATCGTAATAATGACGAAATTCGATACTAAATTGGTTTAATTGACGAGGTTCTTCAACTCGAGAGATCGTGTATCGGGGCGCGTGGCAGATGTCTTCGGTTACTTTGAAAAAAAAGCAACGAACACAACAGAAGAAGAATAAAAAAAATTATCGAAGGTACGTCACGCGAGGAAGCCGGCGTTCTTAAAAATAAAATGACTGGAAAAAAATATAAAAAGGAGAACAGACTCGACGTTCCGTTGTTGTGAAAGAGATCCGTATAGGATAAAGCAGTCCAGGTAGTAGGATGTCGCTGCCTTTGGGTATATGGCAGATGGCGTTTCGACCCTTTTCTCTTCTTCTCCTTCCGTCCACCAAACACCTACGGATCCATTGGGGGCAGATGAGGCAACAGGAAACATATGCTCCCCACAGGACAGACGGACAAAGCGGGCAATTATCGACTAAATCTGGCTTTCGAACTTTAATTTTCTGACACGATCTCAGGTATACAAGGGAGGAGACAGGAAGACCTTCTGTATGATTACTTTTCAAGTCGGGAAGTTCAAAATCAAATTTTTTTTAATTTGATTTACAAAGGATAAAAGAAAATTAGGAAAACACGTTTTGTGTTATTACAAAATTGAGGTGTTACAAAAGCATGTAGCGGTGTCGCGTTTTCAATTCGGAATTTCGCAAACCGCGTTCGCAGAATCGCCCGTTTAACGATCCTTATATATTTAGAGAGAGCCGCGGGCGCAGCAGTCTCTCTATTTTGGACGCATTGCAAAAGCTAGAGCCGACACACGCGCTTACACAGCACCGCATATATATACACACACAGAAACCCGAGAGAGTTTCGAAATCGCCTTTCCTAATATCCTTTCTCCGAACATCTCCCGCGGGCTACGTTGGGAAATGTCCTGGGCTGATGAAATTTTGCTACATCTCACAAAATGTCACCCGGAAATCAATAACAAGAACACCGTATTGCACTCCTATGGAGATAAATCGAAATTTAAGCTTAATTAAATTGAGTACTAAGTTTTAGGTTTTAGAAAAAAAAGGTTACTGCAGTGAGAGGTGTAAGATTCCAACAACACGATTCGATTGGAATTACGCAAATTGAAAAATTTCTCTATTGCGACTTTCGTTTCGCGAACAAAATCGCGAACTGGTTGGGTGCTTTCTCCTTGTTATTGACCGCTGCAGACCCCGTAAGAGTTCAGTGGCCCGGCCATAGCACCCGGAACTCTCTGTTTTGCAACATTTGGGACGAACCTTATTTTTACGAAACTCTCCAGCGTTCGCGTTCGTTCACACACTGTGTTAATTGAGCGGCGAAAGTATATACATTCTTTTTTTCTTCAAAATACTTAAATTTTCTTTTGTATCCATCATGTTCTTTATAACAACTTTATTCTATTTTAGTTACGAAACCTTTCTGACATTTATTGGTTATACAAAAACGACCTCCAACTTATTTAATCAACCTGAAGGGTTACGCCAACCTGTTGCATATATATACATACACATATACAGTGAATTTTATTTAAAATGTAATATACAAAAATATATTTTCATAGAAACTAGGGTGTACCTACTTACTTTGTCTTACATAAAATGCATCACGTCAATATAATTTGACGTTATAGTAAAAGAACGATATATTATTGCTTAATAAAAATATACAGGGTGTATCTGAATGACGTGCCCAAACTTCAGGGGGTGATTCTTTAGGCAATTTTAAGGGTACTTTCTTGTATCAACTATCAGCGATTTCTACTCCCCTGCGGAGCTACGCCCCTTCAAAAATGGCGAAAAATTTTGGTTTATTTTTTTTTCCCAAAAACCATTAATACCAAGAAAATGAAATTTGGGAAATATGTTTAGCTTATAATAGGGCATGTTTCGAGCCTATTTGTACTTCCAATCTTCCCTTCTAAGTTACTAAACATAACCACCCTCGTTCAATTTTTGTCTAGATCTTTTTTATGACGGTGATAAATACATTGGAAATATTTTATTTAGATAGACGAAAATATTCTAAAACTTTTTTGCCTCTCTGATGTTCTTCGAAAAGTTAATAGTTTCTGAGAAAAAAATTAATTAAGCAAACACTAATTGTTAAGCTGTAGCGTTGTTAATCGAAAGTTGGAATGAATTTTTAAAGAACAAATCTTAGCAGGCTTGGCAATCTTTGTCAGAAATATGTTTGACGTTTAAATGTCAGTGATTTTTTTTACTATTATTATTGTTTTATTTAAAATTTTGAAACGTCGAGTGAACGAGCGTAAATGCGATAGAACTTTATTCAAAAATTTGAAAAACAATAATAATAGTAAGAAAAACACTGACATTTAAACGTCAAAAATATTTCTGACAAAGATTGCAAAGCCTACTAAGATTTTTTCATTAAAAATTCATTCCAACTTTTGATAGACAACCCAATGCTTTACTATTTTTTTTCTCAAAAATTAGTCGTTTTTGGAAAAATTTTAGAGAGACAAAAAAGTTTTAGGATACTTTCATCTACCTATGTAATTTTTTTTTAAATGTATTTACCATCTGTATAAAAATATTTTAGCAAAAATGTAAAGGGGGTGGTTACGTTTAGTAGTTTAGAAGGATAGGTTGAAAGTACAAATAGGATGAAAACGTGCCCTACTATGAGTTAAACATATTCGCCAAATTTCGTTTTCCTAGCGTTTAAGGTTTTTGAGAAAAAAAAATTAAACCAAAATTTTCCGCCATTTTTGAAGGTGTGTAGCTCTTTAGGGGAGCCCATGGTTCATATATCAAAGTACCCTTAAAATTGCCTAAAGAATCATCCCCTGACGTTTGGGCATGTCATTCAGATACACCCTGTATAACAATCTAGCACTGAATAACAAATAAAACTAGACTAATACTAAGACTAGAATTAACTCTAGACCTAGAACTAGAAAGTATCGGGTTTAGCTGTACATCTGAAGACTTAACACTAGGACGAGAACTAGAATCATTCGGATTTAGTCGTCTTGAAAGACGTGCGGCTAAATCCGAATGGTTCTAGGTCTAGTGTTGGTTCTAGTTTTACACTAGCACTATCACTACAACTAACACAAGACCTAGAACTAGAATCATTCGGGTTTAGCCGCCTTGAAAGATGTGCGGCTAAATCCGAACGTTTCTAGTTCTGGGTCTAGTGTTAGTTCTAGTTTTGCTCTATGCTGTTCTAGTGACAGTGGGAGGTAGCGCAAGTTAGCACATGATATCACTATGTTGTATATTTTTATTGAACTAAAACTAGAACTAACACAAGACCTAGAACTAGAATCATTCGGGTTTAGCCGTCTTAAAAGACGTGCGGCTAAATCCGAATGTTTCTAGTTCTAGGTCTAGTGTTAGTTCTAGTTTTGCTCTATGCTGTTCTAGTGACAGTGGGAGGTAGCGCAAGTTAGCACAAGATATCACTATGTTGTATATTTTTATTGAACTAAAACTAGAACTAACACAAGACCTAGAACAAGAATCATTCGGGTTAAGCCGTCTTAAAAGACGTGCGGCTAAATCCGAATGTTTCTAGATCTAGGTCTAGTGTTAGTTCTAGTTTTAATTGTTATTCTGCGTTAGATTGTGGTATATTCTTATGTAGTATTATTCTTGCATTTTATGTGGGACACTGCAAGTGCACAGTAGTTTCGTAACTATGATTACTGCATTCATATATTGCAAGTTAATGAAATTCCCGGTATAAGTCCTTTCGAAAATATAACTTATTTCAATTAGTATTATTACATTGAGTGGCTTTATGTTTTAATTATAGAATAGTGTGTGGCCCTAGTAATGGTATAGAAAATCGGCTTATTTCAACGTAAGATGACGTAAGCCAAGACAAGGTAAACACAAAGCGAAATTTCCATAAATCGCAACCGGCGCACCTAAATACTGAACGGGCGTAGCAGGTTACGGGCTGTTTCAAAATTGCACGCAGAAAGGAAAAAGACGGTCGGGCTCGTTATTTTGCGCCTTTTGCAAACGTTTCGCCTGGTTTTTGAAACTTGGCCCGCGGCCCTCCGCAACTCCGACGGAGTCTGACGACATCCTTACTGTGTGCCAATCGAGAAATTCTCGAATCGGCCCAATTATCGCGAAAAGTACGCTCTCCCCGTCAACAAACTCTCCTCGTGTTTCGGTCAACGACCTTCGATTACGACTTGGAACATGACCACATTTTTTTCTGTCTTCTTTTCTATTGTGAATTGAATACTAATTTGAAAATAAGGTGTGTTACTCTTAGACAAAGAAAAAAATTCGTTATTAGAAAATTATGAAGTGTTAATAGTCAAAAGTTTATAAAATGAAAAGTATAATTGTGGTTTATAGAGTGTGCCCTCAGGTATCTTTCGTAATCCGGATTCTATTTGTAAACTCGGGCGCGGATATCGTGTGGTCGAAATCGTGCAACGGTGCATCGACCTATAGCGGAAACGGGGTTTGCGCGCTCACTCTATATCTAGAGTAGTAGACGCAAGAGAAATGCGGAAACGTTTGATCGCGACCGGCGCTCAGACTGCACTTGTCTACTGCGACGTCGGCGTTCCAAGGCTAAGCGCAAACGACGACGACGGCGACGGCGTCGCTTCGATGCCGCGCCGTTCTACTAACTGTACAATTTTCGCTATTTCTATCTCCTTCAACCCACAATAACTTACATTTTCTTTACTGCTTCACCGCTTTAAACCGTTATAACAATTTATAAGAAATTTTATTACTGTATAGTAAATACAAAGAATTTTCTTTACTGTTAAATAAGTAATTTTTCAAATAGATAAGGAAAAAAGATAATAAAAAAAACGGTTCATTTTTTAGCCCCCATAAAATTTCCTGTGTATTTTTCGTTTTCGAAACTTTACATAACGATAATCCGATAACATTTTGAAACTCTATTTAAATTTAAATATTTCAAATATTCCTAAGCTTTTTAACACCCGGATGTTCTATGTACATTTATTACCATCATTTTATATTTCGGGGAAGCCCCACATTTTTCTCTCAATAACGATTTCAAAGCAAGTGGTTGAATGTAATAAATGTTAGCGTTCATAGCAAGCTACTATTGAAACCTACAAAATGATGAATGCTTGAGCGAAATTGGAGAAATCGTGGGAAGAAGTCACTGCACGATAAAGAAAATCATCTATAAATATGACGTCGTACTGGAGAGAATTTACAACGCGTTGGAAGATCGAAACGGCTTAGAGACGCCCAAGTTAAGAGAAATGGAGGCAAATCCCACTTCAAATGTAGTTCAAATAGCGAACGAAATCTCAGGCAAGTCGGAATGTTGCGGTTAATCATAAAAACTTGATAACTGCATTAAAAGAAAATGTCATGGCGACACTGTTAAACACGATGAAAACTTGGTTATGAATAAATCATTCAACAATTTAAAAGTGCAACTCTATGATCTACGCACAAGTACTGAAAAGGAAGTAAACTTGTTGGGTTACTAAGCAGTTACTGACTCATTAGTGAATTCGCTGTTTTGAATGGTCCAATCCGCATCTAAAAAACTGAGGGTGTGAAATTCGTCATCAAATCAGCTTGCGTTAGATGACCACGTCATGATGCAACCTCCCCCTTCTTTGTTTCATGTTTCTTTGAGTAGCTTGGAAGCTGAAAACCATATAAAAACGGAGATATTTCCAGTTTCGCCACGAGCAAAAGGTTGAGTTGTTAGTTATTCATCACGCTGAATCATTTGGAACTGGAAACTCAAATCAGTAAGCGATCCGACATGCGACATGGACATACTTTGGATCATCCACCGCAGTCCCCAGAACTAATCCCGATTTGTGGGAGCACCTTGACAAAAAGGTTAGACAAAGGATCATTTAAGTAAATCGGATCTAAAAAAATGCTTCAAGAAAAGAAAAATCTGAATGGTGAAGTGCAAAGAATGTCATAATTAATTTTTGTAACGACATTTTCATTAACTTTTTAATATAGACTCAAAAACTGTTTACTTTACTTTTGATACTCACCAAATATTACATAAAATTATCTTAAAAACATAACTTCTTCATATACTTAACTTTCTAAGAAAATAAAATGAAAACTGGTGTAGAGTATATCTTGTAAAATACCTCAAATGATTCAAAAAAAATTAATATTTTCCTTTATTTGTTTCAGGACACAATTACGATTAGAATCTTTAGAAGATGCCGTCGTTTTAGAAGACAACAGTGATCTCTTACACGATAAAAGAGGATGTCCGGCGTACGTTAGCCCTGAAATATTAAAAGTAGGAGCGAATTATTCAGGAAAAGCGGCGGATATGTGGAGTTTAGGAGTTATAATGTACACCATGTTAGTCGGAAGGTAAATATCGAATTTGTTTTCCCCTTAATATTAAGTTTAAGCTTCGTTAAGATGAATTATTTAAGCGTTTCAACCAAGTAAGCACATCCAATTACTGGGGATCCTTAAAAAGGGGGTAAATCACCGTCACACCTTACGCTCTACTGCTCACCCCATAGTTTTTTTCTAACTAACCTTGAAGACGTGTGGCTTATGAATACAAAATTAGGTTGAGATGGGTTATTTTTAACTACTCCTATATACGTTTTTTTTTCTTGAAAGTCTTTAAAGACTTCCCTTTGGACGGGGAAAAACGGTGAAAAGACGTTAGCAAAAGAACACTTGTGCGACATGTGCACTTGAGGTGGAATAATTATTAACCCCCTAAGTCGAGGTGAAATGCACCTGTATTTCTTTTCTTAAAAACCAACATATGGTTTTGAACGTTACGCATGATAGCTTGGGAAATAAGAAATAAGATGAGGGGGGTTTTTAAAAACCACCGTTTTATTTTATTGCGTGAGAAAAAAATGTTTTTGGCACAAAAACGGTTTCTTCCGTTTATTTATTATTTCATTTATGCAAAATTTATTTAAAAAAAAGAAATACAAAAATATTTTCTTTCGACTACCTCACTTTTGCACCTGCCCATCCATTAATTAACCGAGTCCAATGATGGGTAGCGCTTTTTAAAAAATTCCCCTTTTTTATCTTTACCGGCACCTGCTTGGGTTTTCTAAAAAGGCTGAAAAAAAATCTAAAAATCGTTCGAAGATGAACCCGCACGTTTTACCCGGACGTGTTATCATAAGATCGGGTAGTAGTACTACCATCGACCAAAAGAACGGGTTTGTGCGTGCACCTGTCGTCGACCCGTACCTTTACCTCCTATAATCTATATAGTTTCAACAAAAAAAAATAAAGAAGGGCCCCAATTCACCTGTTCGTTTATATCACGACCGTGTGGCAGCCAACATGTGGCCAAAAAAGAGTAAAAACAAAACTGTTCAATAAACACGTGCCGGCAGGTGCCTCAGAAGAAAAGAACTTCCTATGCGGGATACTTAAATTCAGTGAGAATTAGCCGGTTTTAGTATGTTGTATGGAAATTCTACTGATTTCTTTTTCAATGTTTAAACGTACAGGTACCAAGAAAATTGGTTCTAATTGTAATTTATTACCACATTCAACTTCATTAGAGAGTCTTGTTTAATGTTAACTAAAAGCGTTGTTTGGAAACGAAGGTTACTTAAAGTTTAAATGAGGTGCCACTACTTTGAAAAATAATATTAATGGAATTTTAGTATTTTTTATTTTTATGTTTTATATAAAAGCAAAATACTGGTCAAATTTGTCGAAATGGCAAAAACTAGAGATCAATGTCTGGTTAAATATTTAAAAATAAAATTAATCAGAACAACGAAACATTCCTGCGGACGCGGTTTGGTATATTCTAGAATTAATGATAACCTCAGATTATTAAATATATATTATGTAATAAGCACGGCCAATAAATATTAAGATAACTATTTTCGAATCAAAGCTTACTCATTCTATTTGCGACAACCCATTTATGTGAAACCGGATGTCCAACTTTAGCTACAATAAAATGCAAGATTCGTTCAAATATAACTCGAGTTTTATTATACCTCTCGCTTAATGTAGAGCGAAAAATGAGAGTGACTGCAATTTAAAATATATCTTTTTGTTGCTCAAAATTTTAGTTTAAGTTTGTAGATTTTTCTAATTCAATTTTAATAAATATGAACTTCACACCAACAGATCTTTATTATCTTAAAAAAAGTAATATAAATGTTTATGCACCAAAAAAAATAGAAGTGAGTGGAGTTATTGAAACGCTCCAACGTTGCATCAGGTTACTCTTGAAGGCCGCTCATAGATTTCCGAAGCAAAAACGTCTGCCAAGTGACTCCAATGAGAATTGTTTAAGTTTGGAAACCCAACCTAACCTCTTTTCTGATGGTTAGCATAGTTCCTGCAATCTGTCTTACTAATTTCGTTGAGATTAAACTCAGTTACTATCTATAACCTGTAATTATGGTCTGGAATGTGCAACTATTGTCTAAAGTCTTGGTTTCAAATCAGTTGTAATTTAAAGTCTTCAGCTATGACCTGCTATGGTCTACATTCTGTAATTATGGTCTGGAATGTATAACTTTTGTCTAAAGTCATGGTTTTAATCTTTAAATGTAATTTAAAGTATGCAGCTTTGATTTGACGTTTACTCCTATGGTCTTTTAATCTTGAAATCTAACTTTTAAGGCAGCACATACAATTTGAAGCTCGCAGTCATAGCCCACAGGTTATAATTGGAGTTAGAAGACTGGAAATAACATTAACAGTTTAAAGGCACATCATGCGAGACACAAACTTTACTTTTATTGCTATTTTGTTCAAAAAAAAAAAGGTTGTTGGTGTGGAGACAATTTCTTCTTCATTTCTCAATTTTAAGCAAGTCTAGTTCCAATATTTAAATCTGGTTATTTGTTTCCCTCCATGCGTAATCTTTCATTGCTGATAATCATTTTACTATTATTGTCGATAATTCCTTACATATCAAATTTTAAATAAAAATTTAAACAATGTAATATTTAATTAAAACTCACAAAATTAATAAATCCATTAATCAACTACGCATATTAGTATCAATAACATTATGAAATCACCTCTTAATAGAATAATATTATTAAAAAGTAACAAGATAAGAATTTCTACGTGATTTCAAAGTATTTATCCAAAAACCTTTATCAATGAAAGAGTATTTATAAAATTTACTAATTCCAAAGTACTCTTTTCTAAATTTATTTGCATAATAACTTATCGAAACGCTACAAATATCTTTCTTGTAAATAAAATTTATTATATCTTTCCACTTAATAAAATTTTTTTGTTTGTTTCAGATATCCTTTTAATGATCCAGATCATACGGTTCTCTTTGCGAAAATTACGAAAGGTCATTTTGTAATACCTGATTGCATATCATCGCGGGCGAGATGCCTAATAAGGTCGTTATTAAGAAAAGAACCGTCTGAGCGTTTAGTTTCTGAAGATATTTTATTCCATCCGTGGTTAGCGAAAGAAGATAGGGATTGGCAGGCGAGAGCTTGCGATCAATTAGTGCCAGAGTCCTGTTTTTACGACGGTGAAGATCAGGATTAAAAAGAATTTTTAAAAAAAGGCGTCGTCAATGAAGAAGAAGATGAACGATGAGCGAATTGTGATCCTTAGTTATTTGTTTTGTTTTTACGTTAAACGTTGTTGAAACTCCAGAGCTGTGCTGTTTTTTTTGTTTTATTTTTTTTGTAAATTTAAAACTTCGATCTTCCACTTAATAGCAATCGATTGATTTCTTTTAATTAATATCTTTTTAATTTTTATTAATATTGGTTTGTAAAATTTAAATTTCACGCGAAAGGAATTTTTTTTAATTTTTTTGCGGCTTTAAGTACAAATTAATTGATCTTTTTATTTTGGATGTTTTTTTATTAGAGTAAATTATAATTTTTTTAAACTTTTTTCTTCAAAATTTGGCATCACGATTGTTTTATTAAAATATATAAATCTAGGTATTTATTACTTTTTTTTGCGTTAAAGAAAAGAAACTTATTGAAGACTGATTATAAAACTCCCAACTATCTAAATGATTAATTTTATTGCACTCAAACGATATCTTTTCCTCTTTTAATTTAATTTTTGTTTGTTTTTAATTCCGGATTGGATATCGTTTTTGAACAATATACAAAGGAAACGAAAGCATCTTAATCATAATAATAACTTACGTTTTAATAATAATAATGAAGAAATAATATATTACTGTTGATGTTTATTAATTTATTATTATACGCTAAATTATAATGACCAAAAGATGAAAAAGATGCATAACTAAACTATTATTATAATTAAATGGGACGTGTAAAATAATTTGTAATATTAAGTAGAATCGTAGATAAGAATTGTAGTCGTGATGCTAATTGGGAAAAATAAAACTGGAGAAAATACAATTATTAAAGGAACTAGTGAGATAGTGATCTCTTAAAAAAAATTGTGTTAGAACGAAATCTATTTTGTATACTAGGTACCAAAAAAAATGAAAATATGTTCCCATTTACGTCGTTCGATGTTATTTATACGAGAAATAAGTTAAAATACGCAATTCTCCGATTTAAATTGTATATATGTATCTTTATAATCGATGTTTTCAATTATTATTATTATTATTGTAAATGTTGTACAAAGTTATCTAGATATTGTAAAGCCGGTTCCAGTCAGAGTAAAAAAAATAATAATAAGTGAAAAAAATACGATTTATGCGAATTTCAAAGTCACTACGTTGTTGGTTTGTGATCATTGAAGAAAAGAATAAAAGCGGTTTTCTTTCTGTATTAAAAACACGTTGTTTTCATTCATAATTGTACCCTTTCAAAATTTTGTTCAGGATTTCCCAACCAGGGAGGGTACGCCTCCCTAGAGGAGAAATGTCAAGAGCAAAATACTTTACAGATCCCTTTGTTAAATAGGAGAATTTCGCACTGTACGCAAATTTGCAAAATTTTTCAAATTATGTTTTTAATTCTGTTGAGAAATTTATTGATCACACATGAAATGATTTCACTGTTAAAAGGTAAGTTTATTACGGACGTGAAGATTTCTGTGAAGAATTTTCTATAAAAATAATTATATTTTTTCTTATATCAAAAGAAATGATTGGTGACTTCGAAGACGTCGGCCGCCATAAGTATTGCTCCAAGTATCACGAACAATACTTATGGTGGTTGACGTCTTCGAAGTTTGCCGTTATTTCTTGTATTAACAGAAATGATCTCGGCCGACTTCAAAGATGTTGGCCGTCATTATTAGTATTAGTCGTGAAGCTTGGGTTGAGAAAGAATCTCGGCCGACTTCGAAGACGTCGGCCGCCTCAAGTATTACGAGCAATACTTATGGCGGCCGACATTTTCGAAGTCGGCCGAAATTATGTCTTATATCAACAGAATATTATTATTCTGAGTATTATTCGTGAAATTAGAGGTGGCCCACTTTCAGGACGTCGGACGCCATAAATATTGTTCGTGATACTTGGGTTGGGAAAGAATTTCGGCCGACTTCGAAGACGTCGGCCGCTCCAGTATCACGAGCAATACTTATGGACATCTTTAAAGTCGGCCAAGATTATTTCCCAACCCAAGTATCACGAATAATACTTATAGCGGCCGATGTCTTCAAAGTCGACCGAGATTCTTTCCCAACCCAAGTATCACAAAAATATTTATGGCGGCCGACATTTTCGAAGTCGGCCGAAATTATGTCTTATATCAACAGAATATTATTATTCTGAGTATTATTCGTGAAATTTGGGGTGGCCCACTTTCAGCACGTCAGCCGCCATATATATTGTTCGTGATACTTAGGTTGGGAAAGAATTTCGGCCGACTTCGAAGACATCGGCCGCCCCAGTATCACGAGCAATACTTATGGACATCTTCAAAGTCGGCCAAGATTATTTCCCAACTCCAGAATCACGAATAATACTTATGGCGGCCGATGTCTTCAAAGTCGACCGAAATTCTTTCCCAACCCAAGTATCACAAAAATATTTATGGCGGCCGACATCTTCGAAGTCGGCCGAGATTATTTCTTTTTAGTTTATGATACTTAGGTTGAGAAAGAATCTCGGCCGACTTCGAAGACGTCGGCCGCCTCAAGNATTATGGAAGAAAGAATCTCGGCCGACTTCCAAGACGTCGGCCGCTCCAAGTATCATGAACAATATTTATGGCGGCCGACATTATTTCTTATATCAACAAAATATTATTGTTTAAGCATTGTTGTTGATACTTGGAGCGGCCGACGTTTTCGAAGTTTCGATTTCTGTTGACTCAACATGAAGTATGTTGTCACAACTCAACGTGAGTTGTTCTTTACGTCAACAAAGTCGACCGTCAAAAAATTGTGTTCCTGATACTTGGGTTCAAAAGAAATAATCTTGATTGAAAAAATTAAAGAGAAGCAAATATTTATAATCTAAAAAAGCTTGATTTACTTTATATAAGTATTTATTGATTAAATCATTAGTTAGATACACTTTTGTATAGAGAGTGCTGTACATCCTACGCTATTTTCCCCTCCATTCCCTTTTCCGGTAATAAATCTTCGTTTTAATACAACGGCAGCACCTAGCACCTCGTAATGGACGAGTTGTCCATGGGAATTCGCCTGCGACCTCTCACCTCGTAGCACCTCTAAAGTTGTTTTTGTCCTCACCAAGAGCAAAAGCGAGTTCTGCTACTTAACTCGTCGAGAAAAATTGGCGTAATTTATACGGTCGGGAGAAAAGGAATTTACATTTCCAGACGCGGCGCCCCTTTTTGTTCAACAACATAGAAAGGGTTAACACGTATAATAAATAACCACAAAAAAATAAAATAATTTTTTTTTAATTAAATCCAGACGATTTCTTGTTATATATTTCTTGTAGGTTTTAATGATTTCCTTGTTTGTTAGCACGAGTTGATTGTAGGTGGCTTATAAAGACATCGAACCTCGAACGTTAATCCCACGTGGCGAAAACAATGATGACGACGACAACGTTGACTAAAGAAAACAAACCTGGAAGATTAACACGGCCAATTTAACCGCGAGATTCGCTTTTTTACGAGCTTCTAACGACCCGACGGTTTTATTGGGATAATCTAAGAGCGAGCTTTTCTTAGATTAGTTCTCGAAGCATCTGTGGTGATTATTAAAAGCGACGCTGTTTGCGAGTTTGCGCGTTCATTAAGACGCTTCTTATGATTACGCGACGATTGCCAACGATAAATCAAAAGCTATTTCGCTATTAACGTTCAAAATTTGCTTTGTACCATAGAAATTACTTAATGTAGATTTCTGAATTGGTCTCATTTATTTCGTGATGTTTTATAATTATTAGTTGATGTAGAAATGTCGATTGGGTGAACAAATTTTGTGTCAGCTGCCAAGTTGCGCAAAATGTTGCAACTGGCGCGCATCCGCCTTCGAGATCGTTAATAAAATCGTTTACCAACCGTATTGTTCCGAACTTTTAGACCGCGGCTCTCTATAAATAATAACCAGTGAACTAACTGTACCTTGACCCCTACTAACAGAAAATTATGCAATACTAAACGTTAAGAAACTTCGTATCATTTCCTCATTTCTTTTTTGATTCAATTTTTAAACGATTACACTAATTATTTTACATCATTGAATTAACTAGAAACATTTAGATTACTTAAACACTCTCTATAAGTACCGAGTACTATTTTTAGGATTTCATTGTGTTGAGTGACGTCATGGTGAAGATTTAAACGTTGAATCTAAAAATGAACATCGTGGGTGAATAAAATTAAAACACTTGTATGTATTAGATTAAATCGGCTTTAATTAAATAATTGAGTTATATACAACTATAAAAGCTACACAGAGTTAAGTATTTACAAGCAAAATTCCAATCTATTTACGATTAATAAAATCATTTCGTTACGTCATAACACTCTGTTAGTTTTAAAAGATAATAAAACGATGCGCAATCAGTTTCTTTTTATTTGAGAACAAATTGATCTTGAGGATTGCAAAGTCAGAATGGAGTAATTATAAAGGCGAAAAATGTTTAACATTGAAATTTCTCCATGGTATACGATGAGATATTAACTTTTAAATGCAAAGTTAATTTAGTTTTTAGTTAAGTTTTTGCGCACACCCAGAGCTTTTAATATAAAAGAAAAAGAAACGGGTTTCCATTATAAATGATGAAAAGCCTGAATTACATTGCTTGATGTTATTACCTTGAAAACCTTGAAAGAAAACGGGGTGTACCGTAAAATCGGTACACCATTGTAATATCGTCTTGCAGGTGTTTGACCCTTTGTTTCTTGTTTAAGTGGAAATGAGAGCGGGACAGGTAAAATGAACAGTACAAAGATATATTTACAGTCAGTACAATTTTTCGTTTAACACCTGGATTTCTTTTTTAAACAAGATTTCTTTTTTGAGATCAACTCAGATTTAAATGATACAGAATGATTAGATTTGGAAAACGATTGAAATGGATTAAGTAAAGTACATATCAAGCTTGTGTAGGGTTAAAGAAAATAATGAAGCTAAGGCGTATATACAGTGGCGGACAAAAGTCTACGTACAGCATTGAATTTTGAGGTTTTTGAACAACAGCACGCAGATTTCAGTGTGTTCGCATCTGTGATTTTGTATTTTACGTCCCAAAAGCTCCCAAACATACTCAATTGGATTTAAATTCGGACTCTGAGGAGGTGTATTCAATTGCCTGGGTACATAATATAGCAACCAATGTTTGATAAGGTTTGCGGTATGCTTAGGGTCATTGTCTTGCTGGAATATCCAGCGATCCTCGAGGGTCAAGTTTTCAATTGGTTTCAAATTTTGTTCTAAAATTCTTTTTTGTAATTCGCGACGGTAATGAAAGCTATAACAGTACTCAAACGGGTGCTGTAATGAGACTCCTTACAGCATCCGATGCTGCAATGAGATTTTAGTAACATTTTCAAGTCTATGGATGTTTAAACACGTTCTTAGCATCGAATACAAGGTCCAAAATGATGAGGACATCGAACTTTGAGCAATTTCTCTTATTTTGGGAGGTGTACATGAAATAATTTTATCAGGTGAATACATTTTATGTTTTGACAGTTTCTAATTGTCAATTCAAATTTCTATTTTCAAGTGTTACGGTATTACCAACTGGTACATACCTATTTCCCTACATTGTCAAAANGTTTCTTGTTTAAGTGGAAATGAGAGCGGGACAGGTAAAATGAACAGTACAAAGATATATTTACAGTCAGTACAATTTTTCGTTTAACACCTGGATTTCTTTTTTAAACAAGATTTCTTTTTTGAGATCAACTCAGATTTAAATGATACAGAATGATTAGGTAATCTTGATTAGATTTGGAAAACGATTGAAATGGACTAAGTAAAGTACATATCAAGCTTGTGTAGGGTTAAAGAAAATAATGAAGCTAAGGCTAAAAAATAATAAGCATTGAATTTTGAGGTTTTTGAACAATAGCACGCATATTTCAGTGTGTTCGCATCTGTGATTTTGTATCTTACGTCCCAAAAGCTCCCAAACATACTCAATTAGATTTAAATTCGGACTTTGAGGAGGTGTATTCAACTGCCTGGGTACATAATATAGCAACCAATGTTTGATAAGGTTTGCGGTATGCTTGGGGTCATTGTCTTGCTGGAATATCCAGCGATCCTCGAGGGTCAAGTTTTCAATTGGTTATCTAGTATTAGTTCTACATTTAGTTCAATAAATATACAACAATCTAGCACTGAATAACTATAAAACTAGAACTAACACTAGACCTAGAACTAGAAAGTATCGT